AGAACGAGGCGGATAGACAAGACCGCGACGGAGAATCAGAAAAATTGCTTGCTCGGTTATTTGTTGGCGCCGGCGCCGGAGGAAAGCAGAAACGATGGGCTGAAAAGACGACTGAGATCTGAACAATTGGGGATCGGAGGAGAAAGAGAAACACGTGTTTCTTGCTTTTATTATTCTAATTTTTGTTTTTTCCCCCATTTCTTGTAACTTTGCTCTTATACCCCTGTTGTTACAATAACAAAAAAATGAGTGTTGTTATTCTATCCGGCCCCTTTGTACGTGGGTATTTAAATCCCACAGTCTTATCTAATGCAAATACGATCACTATCTCTCCCAGTGTATACACTTGTGAATTGTGGATATAGTTGTCTTGTTAATTTGGGTCTTTTTTAACCGAAAGCAAATCCACTTAACCTTAACCTTAACTCTTAATCAATAATGGTTTGTATAATTCTTGAAAAATTATACAAAGTATACGATTTGTTGCGGAAACATAATGACAAAAAGGAAAAAGTGATTGCTGCTTATTAAACAGTGAAGTCTGCACTCTGAAAATTTGTTGCCCTTTCTATGAGTAGATTGGATGAGATAGAAACATATCGGTCTCAATTAAGCAACTCATTAATAAGTTCAGCACAGTTGCATGATGATGCTCACTCCAATTTAGTGTCGGACAGAATTCAAAAATACCCGTGTCCTATTTTAAGCAAGAATCAACTTGTAGTGTAGTGGTAATACATTTTTAATCAACCTAAAAGTCATGAGTTCAATTTTTAAATTCTACATATGTGGGGTTATTTTTTCACCTCTAAAAGTACCGGTGTTATGGAACTAGAGGTGGCAATTAGGATCCAAATCCATGAATCCAATCCAATCCATCCACCAAATTATCCACCTAATCCAATCCATTTAAATCCAATCCATTTGATCCAAATCCAATTGGATTGGTGGATTCATGGATCAATCCATGGATCCAAATGGTAAATTACGATTTGGTACCTATATATTTTATATTTTACATTTTGGTACCTAAAATTTATATTTTTATACGAAAAATATAATTGGAAAATTACATTTTGGTACTTAAAATTTTTCATTATGACATTTTAGTACCAAAACTTTTCAAATTTTACATTTTGGTCCAAGCCTTGGATGTCATTTGGATTCATGGATCAATCCACCAATCCATTTGATCCAATCCATGAATCCACCAATCCATTTGATCCATGGATCCACCAATCCAATCCACGAATCCACGAATCCGATCCAATTGCCACCTCTACATGGAACACTACCCGGACTTCTGCCTCCGCCTGTGCTCCAATTAGAGGTGTGAAGTATATAAGCTAAATGACAGAGTAAAATTTGACTCTAATCCGTCCATGCATAGCAACCCGAAAAATTTCTAAGTACACTTCAACTCTTCCTCTAAACGTGGATGATGAGAAGGTTATTCATTTCTTTTGTAACCTTTTGGTTGATAGTCTGAATATATAACTTCCCCGTCATTAAGGTTATTTCGCTGGTAAAAAGATTGATGAAATAATCATTTACACACTCCATTACCTTCTGATGGCCTTCATAAATCCGATCGTCTTCGGTTGGAAATTTCTTGTTCGTGTTTTGTTGTCGTTGGTGACTTGGTGTAGGTAATAGTGTAAGATCCATTCTTGGATCAATTAGTTCTATTTCTATGTATCTTATTACAGTGTTTGATTTATGGGTCTAATGTTTGAATCTCCAAGTTCACCAATATTAATAGTCAATTTACGCATTTGGTAATATGGTAGAGCCTCTAGAAATTTAAACTTCAGGGATTGACTTTTGTTTAGGTTAATGGATAAGGAAATAGTATGAAATTCATTTTTTAATCTTTCCAAACAAGTCGAACTATTGATAACAATTCATTCTCGATTTTTTATTACCTAGGAACCTCATCCCCACGTGCCACTTTGTGACAGCAGGTCCTACTAAACCTGGGGCACCTGCAATCAAATTCGACGTCAACGGGGCTTCGCCTCCATCAGCCTTGTACCTCCGGGAACACCAACGACCCTCGCTTGTATTCGAACCTGGGATCTGCAACTCCCAAACCTTCACTGTCGCGGCAGCTTTACCGTTACACTATCTTACCTTTGGTACAATTCATTCTCGATTAATTAGCTAGAACTTTATCGTATACCTTTTATATCTCTAATTAATTTAATTTAAGAATTTATGTAATTGGTTTTATATATTGTTTTAGAGCGTGGAATATTAATTTTCTCTTTCAAGTTATAGAAAAATGGATAATATCATGAAGAGCACACATAATTTTAAGTTAAAACAAATAAAACTAAGGGAGGAATGATTCTATACTTTTACATTAATTTGAATTATGCACTCGATCCTTCCAAAAAAATGAAGGCACCATGACAATTATACCGTATATTTCTTTAAGAACCGTGCCATGTATCGAAGTTGCATTGTTTTATTTCCATCAACAAAACTAACCGCAATGATGGTGTTGTATCATCATCCAATCTGCCTGATTTTTGCAATGTTGAATTTTGAGACCATCCCCAGCTTGGAAATGGTTGAAATTCTGTTCCAGCTTTTGCCTTTCCATCTCTCAAAAAGACAACGTACACCAACTTTTGCCTTTTGTTCCCAATAGCAACCTTACCGCCCTCCAGTCCAGCACGCCGCCTGCCGCCCCGTCGGCGGTCCGCCTTGTTCAACGATTGATGAGTGTTCGTTTCATTTTTATACATGTTTTTAAGCAAACCAACATGATTGATTAGTTAGTGTGAAATTTCATGCAACTTTTATTCGGCTCCACTTTATAGCTTACCGACGCGGTCGAGGATCTATCATGATGCATCAAAAACCCAATTCCCCGACCGCTAACTGTTTGATACGAAAGTCAATTACATGGTGATGATCAAGGTTGTATCTTTTCTTTTATGATTAAGGGGTAAAGTGGCTGTCGGGTAGTCAACGGTAAAAGAGATCAACATGTGTGGTGTTGCGTTTGGATATATTTTGTGGAGATCTTGCTACCTAGTTGGGAAAAGATGTGGTGCAGTCCCTACCGAATTATATTTACGGTTGAAGAGTTTTTTGGCTTGTTTGAGCTTGTAGAAAGATTGATAAGTTCGTGCTAGACCATGCTCAGCTTGATAAGTTCGTGAGCTAGCTTGACTCGTTGGCTTGTAGAAAGATTAATCACTCATATGAACATGAACATTATCTTGTTCATATGGATGTGTATGGAAGTTGGTTGTTATTTTTAGTTTCTAGTGTTCTTTTTATCATTTAAATTCTTATGTTATGTGTACACATTTTTCAACAAGAATGATTTTAGGTCGACCTCATCTTGAGCCTAGCTTGTACTTAGCTTGACAAGTTGTGTTAATGAGCATTTATCGAGCTCTACCGAGTCGAGTTCGAGTTGGATTATTTTTAATCCAGCCGAGCTCGAGCGTCGAGTTCGAGCTGAAGAATTTACAAACGAGCCGAGCTCAAACTAAGCACTCGACTCTTTTGTGGCCCTAGTTGGGTAGAGGTGTGCAAAGGTAGGACGCTTACACCATATCATACCGAACATAATTTAATGTTGTCCAGTTTTTAAGGACGAATTCCAAAAATACACATGTTTTTAAAAAAAATTCCCAAAATACACACGTTATAAAATTTTTTCCCAAAATACACATGTTTGGGCATCACCGCTGTTGTCAACCGCAGTGAATGCATTCATCGCGGCAGACCAAAGCGGTGAATGCATCACTGCGGTTGACAGCCGCGGTGAATGCCCGACTTAACTCTGAAACTTCAAACAAACGTAACTTTGCGCTCGGTTATCCGATTGTAGCGATTTTTTTTTTGATTCCATATAACTTTTCAAGATCTTTCAATCTGCAACAAGACTTCATCTCAAAAAAATGTCGTTTGTTACCCCGAACGAGCAATTTTTCAATTTTGCCAAACTTTGGAAGGACATAACTTTTAGCTCCTCAATCCGTACGTCGTAAAGTTTTTTTTGATTGCGCATAACTTTTTAAGAACTACAACTTTGACTAGGATATAATTTTTTAAAAAAGAAGTATTTTTGGGTATACGGGATTTTGGGAATAATTTTGCCTGTACTTTTCACAAATCCACATACTTTCCAAAATTATGGTTATAATCAAAGTTGTAGTGCTTCAAAAGTTATGCAAAAATCAAAAAAAGTTTCATGACATTCGGATTGTGGAGTATAAAGTTATGACCTTCCAAAGTTTGTCAAAATCGAAAAATTGCTCGTTCGGGGTAGCAAATGATTTTTTTTTGGGATGAAGTCTATTTCAGATTGAAAGATCTTGAAAAGTTATGTGGAATAAAATTAAAAAAAATTCGCTACAATCGGATAACCGAGCGGAAAGTTACGTTTGTTTGAAGTTTCAGTGTTACGTCAGGCATTCACCGCGACCGTCAACCGTGGTGATGCATTCACCGCTTTGGTCTGCCGCGGTGATGCCCAAACATGTGTATTTTGAGAAAAAATTTTATAACGTGTGTATTTTGGGAAATTTTTTTAAAAAATATGTGTATTTTGGGATTTTTTCCGGTTTTTAATTGGTTGGTCCCATAAATTTTATTAATGTAGAAGAAAAATGGAACTAATTGACGTTCGGACTGGATGCATATTCAATCCGATCATATATTGTCTTTTACTATTGGACCGTTGTTCTCAAGAGTATAATCCGGTCCGGAACGAAAGTTTGCACACTCTTACCTTGGCAGGCTAGGCCCATTAAGAATTATTATTATTCTTTTTTAGTTTGGGCCATTCAAAAATTTGTTAATTTGAGCCTTCGCCATCCTCAACTCGGACTGGATTCATACTGCCTGCCTTCTACCACCTCAGCCCATCAGTAAGAAGCCCTAATTTGACACCGAGTAAGTAACCCCGAATTTGGTTACGTTAACTCAGCGACGGACTTTCGAGTTTGACCGACAGAACTCTGAAGACATTCATAGTTTCATACCGCAACTCCGCAACGTCGAATTCAGAGCAGCTGGTGACCGTTGTTTTTCAGCAGCCTCTACTCTTCTGTATCCTCTCCGGCAACAGAAAGCTAAAAAAGATCAAGCCATCAACTTGACCGAAAAAAGTTGCTTCGAAGAAACTTAAAACCATGCCACAAGGTTTCTCTACTGTCTCTCACCCTTTGTTTTTCCACTTCGTATGTATGTTTGAATTTGTGCTTTTATCGGCGTTATGAATTCTAAAGTTTTAGCCTTTCGATTCTCATGGTGTGCCAGAGCTTCCTGGGTTCTACTATGACGCCGAGAAGAACAGATATTTCCCTCTCAAAGGCCCAATCCCCGGTTCTTCCCGTGCCTCTTCCTCTTCCTCTTCTTCTTCGTATGCTGCTGATCGTAAAAACCCTAAACAGAATACTTCTCAGGTTAGTTTTCCGTCCATGATTTAGTATGGTGTGGCTACTTTATCGTTAATGAGACCAGGATGGTGGAATCCTAAGTTGCTGTCTGAAGTCCTTGGAATTAATCCATTTGTTCTGGTTTCACTTGCAGGCAGACAAATATTGCAGGACTCGAGTAAAAACTCATAGATTGCTTCAGGGCAGGGAGTTGAATGGCAATGTGGTTTCTGTTAGTAAATCAAAGTACAATTTTGTCCAAGAATACCAGAAGGCACAAGCTTCTCAACCGGTGGTAGGTTTAAGCTTTTTTGTATCGAGCTGTTTTTATGGGGAGCATACCTTCCCTGAATCTATTTTTGTTGTTGTTTGTTACTGGATCAGGGCAAAATTGTGTCTGCTAGGAGTCTTCTCTTTTGTTCTGGAAAATCTGCTGTTTTCAACTTTTGTGTGTCAAAACTCTTAGTATGGAAGCAAGCCAATAGGACGTTGATAGTTTATATCTCGTGTAATCAGCAGAAGTATGTTCTCCGTTTTTGTCTGTAGCATTAGTTGTTGGGAAATCGGTCATTGCTTGATAGTAGCCCTGCCTTTGTTTGCCTCGTGGATTTTTATTTGACATTGATACTTAAGCTTGGTCCTGCGTGGTTCAGTATGTCGTGGAAAGATGCCGTAGGATAAATCTTCTTGGTGCCCATGGCGGGTTTTCAGTAGTATTTCTCTAAAAATTAAATTACCGATCTTAATTGGTTAGCTATGCCATGACAATCTTTTCAGCTTTTTATCTTGACATGTCCTCAATTGTATGTTATGGAATGCCTATGGTTTTGAATTATTTTTATGCGCAGCTATGGAGAAAGTTATGTTTTTTATTTCGTTTCTATGCATGCAGGTTTGGAGGTATCAAGAGCCTGGCGAGTTGGCGTGTGATGGTGGTTTGGATCAGACAAGTTTTTGCATACAGAAACCCGATGGTCAAGTTAATATGGACATTCTAGTGGCAGGAGGTATAAATGGCTGCTTGAGGTAATTACTTACACTTGCTTATTAAAAATTTATGCCTTCTCAAACATTCCTGGATGCAGTAGGTTTTCCTGTACTTATCAGAGCTGTGGATTTTTTAAAATAGTTTAGGGTTTGTGATGCACATACTCTTATGTGAATTGGGTCTGTTTTTATGCGGATTAAGCCCGCCCACTAGATGTACTATGATACAATGAAACAAAGTAATTGCCTTCTGTATGGCTAAGAAATTATTTTGTTGATATCACGAGTCATAACTTTTCTGTAGACTACCTTTTGTCTTGCCGGAAATTATTTTTATGCAATACTTAGCACTTGATGGACAGATCAGGTAGTAGGTACCAACTCCTTAGAATGATTATGAAGTTGTTTCTGCTTCATCTTTTTCTCCTAGCTTATGACATCTCATGGGTGTCTTGACTACTGCTTTCTGTGTGGTTGTGTATTCCTGTTTGACTATTCTCGTGGATGATGCTTTTAGCGCTCTGGAATGTACTACTCTGTAAATTATCTCTTTTGTTATCTATGGTATCTTATTTCCTCATTGCTGGTACCCAGAGTAGTAATCATATTAGTTTATGAGCTCTTTCTTTTGAAGTTCGGTGCTCTTGCAGTGTTATTGAAGTTGGAAATGGTGGTCATCATCAATTAAACCGCGTTATGCCAGATCGTGTGTGGCCCTCAACAATAGGAGATAGAACAAATAAACCACCTGAACATGTTCGAAGATCGTATTCAAATTTTTTGAGTTCAAGCATATCTTCTGTGAAACTGCTCGGGAGGACTTCTCATCTGAGTGCTGATATAGGTTGTCACATCCAGCATGGCCTGTATCCTATATGTTTGATATTTCCAGATGTCTTTTTGCTGCCCCTTAGTGAAATTCTGAGGATTTGTTCCTTTTTCTATTTTGGCAAAACTTTGAAGCAGAATTTATCTCCTTTATGTTTGATATTTCCAGATGTCTTTTTGCTGACCCTTAGTGTAATTTCCGAGGATTTGTTCCTGTCATCTGTAACAATTGTTCAAAAATGCTATTTTCCTTGTGCTGTTTCTGATCAATCATATGCAGCGTGAGATTCTTTATTTGTATGAAACATTTTGGTGGCGTTTATACATAAGATTTTATTAGTTACTTAATATTTTTATCAATATTTTATTGCTCATGGAAAAATGGGGTTCGGTTTCTTTAAGAAGGAACACATCGTATTTCTTTCTTTTGGCCAAGTCCTTAATTAAGTACAGGGTGACAACTCTTGGGTCTGAAACATCAAACAGCACTGTTTGTCTTCTTAAATTCATGGAGCTAGAAGAATATGGTGTTGCTCCTTCTCGAATTGCTTCTATGAGCTGCACTATCTGGACAGCAGATTGCAACTCTAATGCTAGAGAAGCAGTGATAGGCAAGTTCCTTCCTTTGTTTTAACTTGCTCTGTTTCACGGTTATATCTTTGGATGTATTAGCTCTTACAACACTTTCCTCCCGTACTGCCACACCAAATGTTGTTTCAGTTTCTTCTTTTTGAGCTGCAAAACTGGGATGGATACAGTTTTGTCTGAAACTGCATATTTAAACAAAACAGTTCACTATCGCAAATAACCTCAACATTGGTGGGCAATTTAGTTGATCAGGCAAATGAGGAGCACCAACTGTTTGTTTGTTACTGGTTCATGCTAATTACTGATTGATTGTATTGTTCATATTTATCCAGGGACAAATTTAGGAGCCGCTTTGGTCAATTTAGAAACAGGAATCATATCATGGTTGTGCCGAAGTAAAAGTGATGTTTTGTCCCAGCAGCTTAATAAGGCGGTAATGTGCTGCCATAGTTTTCTTAGTTATATACTGTTACACAGTTCATGGGGCAGTGTTTAATTCAATTCTGTAATTTGTTTATGCTGTAGGGAAATGTCGTTCTATGTGGACTGCGAAATGGGGCAATCTTGTCAGTTGATACTCGTGAGAAACAAGGTCATTCTGGTAGACGCAGTCATAGGGTACAGTCTATACCATTGGGCAATCGTGCTCAACATCGTGCATCATGGTTTAGGGTATGAAATTCTATTTCCTTTGGTTGATAATCGTGCTCAAAGAGTTAATACTGTGGCGATGACTAGATAGGTACTAAGTTGTGGATGTGTTCAATTGATCTGTATTCTCGGGTAAACTTGGCTTAATTTTTTGTGTGGGAGAAAAACAAATACTTTGGAAGATGAAAAAAAAGCTATGTGAAGCTCTGAGTTGAAGTTTGAGCTTAAGCTGGGCTACTCAGAATGATACTTTTCTCTGCAGTGGTTTATTTACGTAACATACTGAATGAAGGGATCTTATAACGTTGATCTGAATCAATCATTAATGTAATGTCTTGCATGCCAAAATGCTTAAAGATGTTATCCTAATAATATCAAATCACTAAATGGTTGCTTACTGTCGATCTACTTGAATGGATAAATATTAACCACATTAATGAATTCATTAATAGTAAATGACACAGATCTGGAAGTGGGCATGAAAGTTTAAAGGTGCTTTAGCTCTGTCATTTGTGCTACAGTTTTCTGCATGGCTAGCTGGATGATCCCTTTTCATATCGTTTGCAATTTGCCTTCCTTTCCATTCATTGTCAAATGGGATTATCTGTGGTTTTCCTGAACACAAAGCTTACTGCAGTGTTTTGTTCCTCTCCAAGTTGTCTGGTGCTTACCACATCTTTTTTACTTCTTCCCAGGTTGAGGGGAATATAGATCCAGCTACTACGGTTTGCATGCCCTCATCTGTTTGCAGGTTTGTATGCCTGCTGAATCCATCTGGGTAAATTAACAATTTTATGTATGAAAGATTTTTTAACCCAGCCTGCTTGTTGTAACTTTACAGTTTAGTCTCACTTCAGCTTTACGACCAATATTTCTTGGCCAGTTCGATGGATGGAGCGGTTAGTTCTTTTTCTCCCTTCCAGTTAATTGAACATTTCTTGGGTGTTTGTGCACACTTAGTAACTAGTAAGTAACTTTTGCTCATTGTTAATCACCTGAAACTCATTTCCTGTGTGACCAAAATTTACCAAATAAATCAATTTCCTGATGTCATTTGTTACCGAGTCAATGCCATTTTAAACAGTGGGCCCATCATGCAATTAGCTTGGGTTGGAAGGATTAGATCTCTTCTAATCCTCAATCACTCTTTCCACCATGCAGATCAAGTTATACGATCATCGCTTGACCAACAGAGGTGCTGTACAGGTATATGAAGGCCATGTGAACTCTCATACACGATTACAGCTCAAAGTCGACCCCTCTGAGAGGTTTCTTATGGCAGGTATGTCACTATACATGATGTTATATACAAGTTATACAGTTGCAGAAGCTTCAGGAGTTCAAAATATAGGGCGAGTGTGTGTTAACTTTGCTTGAAAGGAAACACCTTTTTTAAGTCGCTGTAAAAGTGAGAATATTTTTACGTTGGGGCGGAGATAGAGTTTGAGGGGATGGGATATGGAATATTTTGAGTAACAAAAAGTTAATGATGGGAGATAGTTTATTATCTTATTTTATAAGAAAGAAATAAGTGGATTTTGTTAGTGATTTGGCATTTAGATTTAGATAAGTTGTGCAATTTATGGCGTATAGTAATCCTAACAAATTCTGTTTGAATTTTTGACCACACCAGTTTGAAAAAAATGAAAAGAGGATTTAACTCACCCGATATCTCTGTTCTACCTGATTCCACTAGGTGGAGAGGACTGTCATCTACGTCTTTGGAGTGTCAAGTCTGGTAAGCTGCTCTTTGATGAAAAAGTATCTGATGCAGTCCCCTCAACTGTGTGTTGGCAGAAAGGCAAGCTAGCTCATTTTTATTTTTACTGTTATGTGGATAGGAAGGGTTTATGCTTGGATGGTTTTACGATATTCACCGTTGAACCGGATTTCTGCAGGGCTATTGGAGGCAGCAACAACATCGTCCGGTGACAGTAAATCCGTCGAAGAATGTTCATTTGGTGTAAGCCCTAGTTTCAGGGCATGGTGTGGATCTAGAGATGGTCTCATCTACACTTGTTGGCCTTGAGACAACACCCCAAAGCAATGATATGCCTTCTTGAAAATAACTTTGCACATACAGAAAGCCTCGATCATAGTAAGTTTTTGCTGTACATGTGGTGGTTATGGTGAATGTAGGATGCAAGTTCTTTTTACCTTTTGTGATGTAGCTTATAGGCTACAACTACAGAGATAGGCGATACAGCAAGTTAACAACTACGAACACAGTTACCTTGTAAGAATCTGTTAGGGGATCCTTTGCCTCATAAATTTTGCAATCTGATGATGATGGTCTTTGTATGTTGTGTAAATGGGGGCATACCGAGGGCAGGTGTCATGGTGTCGTGGAACTGCACGACGAGGTTTTGCTTGCTGGGAAGGGTTGGCCGTCGGATGCTCCTCTCCTGCATTTTGCCCTCTTTTGGTAAAGTAAGAAAAAGCAACGACACACACTATACTAGCATTGGCCTTTTCCTTTCGCTGGAGGAGACAGGTTAAAGTTTCTGAAGCTTTTCTTGGTCTTTGAGAGTGACTAGGACTAGTCTAGTTAGTCTTTTGAAGGCACAGTATGCTACTGTGGAGAGGGTTTTAGGCTTTTAGCATAGTTAGAACGCGTCGGTTGCTGCATGAGGCTGAGGGCTGAGTGGAGTCGACTTGGGTAATTAGTGTTCAAAATGGGACAACTGATAGAAAAGAAAAGGTGATTGGAATCTGCTTAAGTTCAAAATCCGAAAGTGGGGAGGAAAGTTATTCCCTTTTGATTGTAAGAGTGGATAGTCTTACGTACCTGCTCCACCCAAATCCATCCTCGACCCCTCCAAAAAGAGGACAAAGTTTATGTAATGCCAAAGGGCGAGGGGCAGAGCCATTTCACCATGAACAATCCTCCTGTAACGTCCCTGTCAGAATTGGGTAATAGTCATCACCCAGGGAAAGCCTAGAGATTACCTATGAAAGGTAGCAGGCTGCATGTTATAGTGCTAAAGGGTATTGTTAAAAACTCTGAATGCGCATATCGAATATCTCTGCCTCCAGAACATGATTTAGAAACATGAAGGAGTCTAGCTGAGCGGCATGAATTCATAATTGTTTGGTCTGAGTTTTTTAGACCATGGGCTCTGTTCCATTACGCGACTTAAAGAGTTGGGAGCTGCTTTTGAGAAAGGTTGGAGAAAAGGGGTTTAGTGTAAAAAAGAAGCAAGTAATGATGGAAAGGTCATCCTTTTCCTCCCATTTAATTTGGTGTCTTGTCAAACATTCTGCATGAAGGATGAATTGCATTGAACCCCATTCCCACCACTAACCCTAATGAAACCCTCTCTGGCATCTTCACGTGGTTGAACTCCCAACCTTGTGCTTTGCCGTGGGAACAAACAACACACAACCCATTTTCCCGAGAACGTTATCAATCATCCCAATTATAACGAGACTGGCATTTGCCATCGCAGCTGCTGCAGGGGCAGGGCACTCTGCCTAACAACTTGATTGATAATAAGCCTAAGTAAAAGTAAGGGATTGGGACGATGACTTTCTTTTAAAATATTACACTTGACTGATAGCTATAAAATATATACAGTGTTGAACTCACTTTTAAAATATTATTAACGGGACAAACTAGTTCTGTTAACATGATATTAGATATTGATGGGCGGAGAAATCTTGTGTTGCACTTGTGGTAATTAACGTCAAGTATTAAAATATTGTTTAAGCACAACCAATAATAATATTAACTCCAACCAAGTTACTGACTTGGGTGAAAGTTAATTTCGTTTTTAAGTCGAGAATCAGCGCCCACATTATACAGAAGAAGCCCAAGGAAGGAAGGAAGGGTAAGAGACAGACAGGCAGATCCGTGGGTTGTGGTGCGGCCGAGTGTCCCAAACCGTGAAACAGACAGTCCAGTCCAGTCCACATTATTGCGATTCATGTCATGGAAAGTGAGAGAGACGCCACCAAAACAAAACAAACAGAAACTTCCATCAGCTAACCGACGAAACTGTACAAACAGAGAGAAACCAGAAATCAAAGAAAAATAAACCACAGAGAGCTACAGAAGCTAAGAGTACTAGAACAAGGCGACAGAGTTGGACTGCACAGAAGAAGAAGAAGAAGAAGAGAGAAAGAGAGTTTGGTTTTAGTGCAGTTAGTACTGATATATAGCTTAACTTGACAGCCTTTCTTTCTTCTTCAGCTTCCTTACTTACCCTTTCAGCAGCTCAGAGAGACAGAGGTGCATGCATGGCCATGGAAAGGCAGCATCAGTTCAGTACAACAAGTATGGAACGAGGAGCGGGGCAAATTAAAGGCTATTTTTGGGAAATTTTCGAAACAGAAATTAAGGGACCCTTCTTCTCTTCTCTTCTTTCTTTCCTTCCCCTTTGGCTGAACCTGTCCCCACGGGCCACCGGTCCGGTCCGGTCCGTGCCATTATGTTATGTGTCTGGTCTGCTACATTACAACCACCCGCACGCAAAACCATGCTCGCTGTAGTCTATTCTTCGATCTCTCTTGTTGTCGAGTTGTTATTATTTGTTAATGAATTTCTTTCTTTGTTTTAACTAATTTATGCACCATAGAAGCTAATTAGTGAGTAATGAAAGGACCAAAACTCGCATTAATCATCTGCTCCACTTCTTCCCTGTCTTTGTCTTATACTGAAATATTTATTTAACGATTTTAAAAGAAAATCCTCATCCTTAATTAACGTATGAAAATTAAGCCGCCCTACAAGTATATTGGTTCTAAAAAAAATCTTAGTTATTAGTAAAACAACATAATGTAAGTAGCGCTAACTCTGCAAGACAAGCTTATAGTATGGGGGAAGAATGTGACTGACGTGATCATTTATATATGGGTTATAGGTATAATATGCCCCTCTACTATGTTATTTTATCAAACATGCCCTCTACTATTTTTTACATCAAACATGCCCTTGTACTTTAGAACAATGATCAAAAATGCCCTTCTGTTAATATTTTCATCCAAAAACAGTCAATCATGGTCGTACCTTGGTTTGGGCGATACAAATTTCTAAAATATCCTTGGTAATTTCAATTTAAATTCTTTTGGGTTCTTTTGTAGAGCCAAATACCTCTAATAATTTCACTTTAACGAGACCTAGAAAAATAAAATGGGGAACAAAACTAACATTTTCGCTCTCATTTGCCGATGTCGGGTCATCTACATCTCGGTTCAACCATGGTTGGCGATTTTTTTAATGGAAATTTAACAGAAGGGCATGTTTGATCATTTTTCCAAAGTACAAGGGCATGTTCGATGTAAAAAATAGTCTAGGGGGCGTGTTTGATAAAACTACATAGTAGAGGGGCATATTATACATATAGCTCTTTATTATATGGTTGAGTGGTGTAGGTGGGAAGAATAATGCTGGAAGATTGATGTAGTGTCCAGCCATTTGCACTCTCCTATCTATCCCGTTGATGTGTGTTGTTGCGGAACATTGTTCGTCGCAAGGTTTTGTGTGAGTATTATAAAATTGATATATTTTGAAATGGTGAAGGATTCTCTTAATTAGTATAGTTACTGATAATACTTTTCTTCAATGCGTATGGTGCAAAAGTAAGTAGAGAGTTGGCTTTTCAGAGAAGAGAAAGGAAAGGAACGACAAGCCGGGATCATAAAAGGAAACCCAAGCTGCTTTTTTGACTAACCAACAAAGCAACCAAATCGTACAAATTAAAGCACCTCTCCCGACTCTTATCTCTGGTCGTTGCATATATTCCTCACTCTAGCTAGCATATGAGCATTTGATATATAAGGTGCCTTCTAATTATCTAATGTATATTAGAGTATAACATATTTTTAATAAGGTACATTATTTAGATCACAAATTAACTAGAATATATGTAGGGGTTGTTTGGATGAGGAATTGTAACGAATTAATTTGACACAATTGTCTCGTTTTGAGACAATTGTACCAGGGGTCGTTTGCTTGAGGGTTTTGGTGATGGATTTGGTCATGGAAATATATCCATCATGGACTTGAACCGAAATCCATCGTTTGCCTTAGGGAATTAGAGAGATGGAATTTGTGGGGCCCACCTCTTTTGGGGTTCCAAATCCGTGGACCCCACGGACTTGGAAGTTCCACCTCTTGAGGTGGGATTTGGGTGATATTTAAAATCCATGATGGTAAATTACCTTTCTACCCTTAATTATTCCTTTAATTACAAATTTGTCCTACTTTAATTCAATGGTCATGGAACTGTAAACTTTAATAATTTCGTATTTTATAAATATGAGAATTTATCATTTCATTTTGTAATATCGTATTTTATTTAAATGTGAATGTATATGTGATTTCTTAGATTCACATAGAAACACTTTATGCTCATCTTGTACATTATTATTTGATTGATTGTCGGATTCCACATCGGTGAGTTAGCAAGAAGATGATGAGTTGTAGCAATAAAGCGAGCAATTGGCTGCAATTGATACATAATATTGCGTACATTATTAGATGAATTGTTAATTAGTGCCAAATTGTAATACATTTCTATATTTGTACTTGAATTAATCCACATAGTGGTAAAGAGTTTAAAATTTATTTCTATGTTTTGGATTAGTTTTAAATGAAAGATTTGGATTAGAATATCGAAATATAATTAAATAAGGGTAACTAGGTAATTTGTATTTAATATCCACAAATCTAATCAAACAAAGTCCATAATCAAATCCATCAAGCAAACAATAGACTTGTTCAAATCCATAATGCCACCAAATCCATCATATATCCATGGTTTTCCAAAACCCAGGTTTTACCAAAACCCTCATTTTTCAAATCCATGAAACAAACGACCCGCAAATTGCCTCGTTTGCCAGCAAAAATTTGGATGGATCAATCTGCCTGAAGTATTTTGAATTGATCCGTTTTGAGTCAATTTCAATTACCTGGGGTGGGGCAGGTAATTCGAATTGACTCGTTTTAATTGACTCGTTTATAAAACGAGACAATTGATCAAATTGACCCATCCAAACGACCCCATAGAGTATTGATTTTATTAAAAAATATTAAGAGATGATTTTAATCTTCCGAAACACATGATATAACGTATGAGATCGAACAAAACCACACAATATACATAATAATACGAGTATTATAAAATTTCCCCCTATTTGTAACTTTCTTTGCATAATTATCCTTTTCCATTCTAATTCCACAATTACAAGAGACATGCTCAAAATATAATCGACCTTTAGACCTTTATGACCAATTAAGATGGTTGTTAAGAATCTGATTCTCCTTTTTCTTTCTTTTTGGCCATAAAATCTGATTCTCCTTTTGCACTTCTACCTATTCTTTTCTAAATTTGTACACATATTATATTCAACGAATAATAAAGAACAAAATATTTAATGACCCACAAGAGAAGAGAAGAGAAGTTTGTGCTCATTAGATTACAGAAAAACTTCGACTTGATGATCTTTCTTAATTAGCATAAATGAATCAAAACATAAGCGCAATCATTTTTTTATATAAAGGAGGTAATGATTAGCGACTCTTGGGGTATACAAAAAATTATAGTATAATAATATATTATACCCAGATTCGAATTAAATCATATTCTAGATATCAATATCTCATTTTGAGTCTGTTTGACTCATAAATATAGAAGGAAAAAAAATTCCGTGAAAATGATGGAGAGAGATCACCACATTTTAATTCGTTTTTCTTATAAAGTTTTACTCGTTAATCAGGCGGATAATAAAATCAGACGTAAATAATGAATCATTAACGAATAAAATACACATGTGATGTGAGGTTTAAAGTAAAGGAAGCATTATCATAATAATTAAGAATTATATCACACAAATGAATACGGGATCAAATCAGACATATCCTCTTTTCACATGGTTAAAATTCAATGATTTTGATAGGTAGGTAGGGTCGCTTGGAACTGATGAGCCCAATAATTGAGCCACAAAGAAAAACCAAACACACATAATAATTGAGACCTAGAAACTGTACAACTTGGTCTCACGGTTCCATTTCAGCAATACCCAACAAAATGACCACCCAAGAACATCCAACCAAGACGTACGAAGCCCTAATAATTACTGGCTAAATGGTCGTCTGCTGTATAAATATATATATAGAGGAAGAAACAAAACAGAGGGGGGAAAACACAAAGTAAATCAAAGCACCTCCAAACCATAAACGTACCAAGCAAAATAATATAACAAAAATGGTAGCTAGGTGTATATATACATAACAATTTATATTAATTAAATATCAAAATTGAAAACCAATATATATAACCAAACCCAGCTAGCCTAGCTCTACCTCTGTCTGTATTTGGGGCTTGGATCATCGTCACCTGTTGGAAATGGGATTGGGACCGCTGGGGACTTCATGGGCACTGGCATTGAACATCGCCGACGACGACGACGAACCTTTTTCCTGCCACGGCAATGGCGTTCTCCGGGGCCGGAACCTTCCACTCCTCCGACTGCTCCCATGGAACCTTGTTTGATCTCTGATGACGACGACGGCAGAGATATGTAGGCCCACTTTCACCTTAGGATCATCGTCAGCTGCTGCTGCTGCTGCCGTGGTAATGTCCAAGTGAACAACCATGGAGAAGAGAACAAGGAAGAAAAGGAGGAGGGTTGATCTTACAACTGACGGAGCAAGGATGTGTTTAGTATGGTGGTGGTGAGAAGAAGAAATGGGGAGTGGTGATGAATGATCTACATCGATCGTCATGATGATGATGATGATGATCTCCAGCCATGCAAAATGGAGACTACTTTGGGGGGTTTTTTTTTATGTGTGAACCATCCAGCCAGTGCACCCCAGCTGATGGTGATGATGACTGGGAAGAATCAACATCTATCTAACAAGGAGAGGAGAGGAGAGGAGAGGAGAGGAGAGGAGAGAGCTTGATTATATTGGTGAAAAGATGGTGGTAGGAAGCTGGAAATCAAACCTGATCAGGTGGCCATGACTAGCTAGCTAGCTATTCACTGTGATTTGTGAAAAGGGTGGGTAGGGAGAAAGAGCGGGTGATTGAGGGAGATATGAAGGAAAGGAAAGGAAAGGGGGAAAGGAAATGAATTTGTGAGGGTGGAGGTGGGACTAGCTAGAGCTAGAGCTAGAGCTAGAGCTAGAGCTAGAGCGAGAGTGAGTACTGGTGCACTACTTTAGCTGCGGTCACTGTCTGTCTCAATGTGGTGTGTGTGTGATTGATATGTGCATGGAAAGGGATGGATTGGGTCTCTCTCTCTCTCTCTCTCTCACTCATGAAGATGAGTGCAATCCTGTGGTTGTCATGGCGGTGATATTTATGCAGACCAATTGAGAAGGATTTTGCTTTCTGGGTGGGTAGATAATGTACCAGAAAGTTAAAGTTATCATTATAGTAATTTGTATTAAAATCGTGATTTAATTGTGGTTCAATTGTTTTTTATTGGCAAAAATTATATATTCATTTGAACTCTACTATAAGGATGTTTCGATATTACTACTACGCCCGTAAGAGTATGTGGATATGGGCAGAGGGGAGCCCTAGCTGAGACCTGCATTTCTTTTTCTCTTAATGATTTTTGCGACTACGAGGGCTACCCATGTAGTCTCCTGGGATGAAGACCAAGGGAGGCCCATTATGGGCTTTGGGTGGAACGTGAATAGTGGAATGCTCTGGACCACTACTATTTCGGCCCACAAGGTTTGGATTTCATTCCTAGAAAATTCAAGGTTATCTATAGAACTTTACAACAAAATGGAGTTTACCTTACCTTTATGAAGCAGGGGTCCAAATCCCATCAGTATCCTTCTGGTCAGTAATTGTCAGTAACAAAATTATTTATTGTTTATTGCATTCAATTCGTAGTCGTCAGTTCACGAAATTTAAATAAACGGAGGGGCAAAATCATAAAAGCGTCCACCCATTTACTTATAATACTGAATTTTGACCAAATGCGGACCCCACCACGCCTCTCGCCCCCACGCCTTCCTCCCTCTTTTTTTCCACCCTGCACCCGTCCTCATGCTTTTCCTCTCTCACATCTGCAAATAAATGAATAAATAAACACTCTGTTACACATTTTTTTGTCTGTCACCAAAAAAAGAAAGAAAAAAACAATTATCTCTCTCATAAACTAAAAGAAAAAAAATGATTCATACTTTCCCAACTTTAACTCCAACTCTACAACATATATATATTAATCAAACTATCTAAACTCTATACGCTCTAACTTCAACTCAAATTGAATGGTGATGTTTTTATTCAATCATTTATGCTTAAAAGGATAATTAAAAGTATGAATATGATTACCACCACCTACCACTATTTTATAACATAATAAAATATGCTAAAGAAAACTACAAATCTAATTACCATACAATACCACTTGGTATAATATGGTAAAACATGCTAAAGAAAATTATACATCTAACTACCTTATCATACAACCATAATAGAACATGATAAATCGAATGATCACAAATTAATTATAATTACCACACAATACCACATGACAAGAGAAGGTAAAACCATATAAATCTAATTATCACCCTCCAACAACATGATAAAAACATGGTAACCACAAAAATACATTTAGTAACCACACATTACCATATGGTATAGTGTGGTAATCTCAATATATATCTAACTAGTGCCGTGCCCGCCCGATGGGTGGTTTGTTTTTTTTTTCTTTCATTATGTTGTTATTTTATTTTTTTATAATGATGTTAAGTTTCTATTTTTCTACCAGTTTGATAAAAAAATTCGAAAACTAAAAAAGGCATTGAACCCTTAAAGTGATTAAAGAAATTGATATTTGGTGATAAAGTTAGTATAATTTTGGTGTTAGTTATCCAATTATGGCTCAAGCTTTTCAATTTTCACGTATCCAAAATATTAAAGGAACGGACATTGCTACGATTACTTGCAAGTCACTGTTACTTGTACAAATAGGTTGATCGCAAGGTGATAAAGGTCGACCGAATATGTTGTTTTCTTTTTGTTACGTTCAACAAAGCGGTCGACCTTGTACATGAAATGGTCGACCTCTTTGGCATGCAAACAATAAAAAAAGGTCGACCTCGTTCTTAAAGTGACCGACCTCATACATTAACTGGTCGAGCTCATTCTTAAAAGGGTCGACCTCTATTGCATTACCTAATCAACATCGAACTCAGGATTTCTCCGCAAATAGTAAAAAGGGTGGACTTGTCAAATTTGTTGTGAAATTTGTTAAGTCTTAAAGACGACTTGGTTTGAAGCAACTATGATCGTGGATTGATATCAAGCCGTTGTGGTTTTCGATTTTAGGTAGGTGCGCACTATTGTGAGGTGTGTTTTATTGTATTTGGTTAGTGATGAAGCTGTTAAACCTTAAAAGTTATGGTTTCTTGCTATTATGATTGTGAATTGAATTTGTTGGTTTCTATCGTAATTTCTTAGACCAAACAAAGTACAGACATCCACAGACATAAGCACAAAATTCAAAGGTCGCGAACTTATATTATTGTAAGCGGTCGACCGCAAAATCAACATTTTCCTCTGCGTTTCACTTCAAGAGGGATGGATTGATGTGTTGTTGACTCTTCTTCTATATATATGGTTGATCTCTTGCTGGAAATGGTCGACCTCATTGTAGATAAGGTAATGACCATTTCTTGAATTCCCGATAAGCAAAATCAGGGTTTCGGAGTATCCGGAAGCCGGATTGAGCCCAAATTTCATATACGAGCTTCCTGCAGCGAGGTAATCAATCCTCTAGTTCTAATCCCTGAATTTCGGCAATTATTTAGGTTGGGATCCAAATCGCTGAATTTAGCTCCGGCCAGGGTTTGATGTGTTTTTATCGAGAATTTGATCCGGAGCCTAGAACTAACATTGAAGGGGGGACACTGCAGGGGATATTAGGACAATCTCGGATTTTGATTCCGTGTTTGTTTGAGAAAGTGAAGTTGGGGTACGGGAGGCTAGAACCAGTGTTTGAATGACCAGAACTAGTGAGGGATTAGCACAACATACCGGGTTTGTCGTATCACGATAATTATATTGATGCTTAGAATTGACCTAGGTGAATTAGAATGGCATGATTAGGGGTGTATGGACTTTTATGCTATATGATGAACCATGGATTGTTGTATGATATTATTGACTTGCCCTATCCGATATGGACCTTGTTTATGTTGATGATTGCATACATGTTGCCATTTGTGGCTTAATCATTGATATGATTTCATGGTTGTTCGATCAGGTGTTTTGACATGATGTGATATTGTGGTTGTATTTGGATTCACAAGTGGGGGAAATAAACTTCTCAGGGTGATATTATGATGTTTAAGGAGGATAACTTGCACGAGGGTTTATCCCGAGGAAGTGCAATTATACGACTCCTGATTTACCTATGTTGAGCCAATTATGGCCAGGTCAAGTACATGTGCAAGTAATGAATTATGATTAAGCAAGATGAGATATGAATAATGTATAAGGATATCAAATATGAGTGTTGTGGTCTCACGGTCAACTTCATAGTAATTAGGGCTCCCTATGCTATTAGTTTATTATTATATGTATGATAGTCACACCTTTCATGTGGGGTGACTGAAGAATTCTTACAAGATATGACAACACCCAGAGCGGTGTCGGGGTATGACTACACCCATAGTGGTGTGGGGTATGTATGACCACATCTGATGGGATGTTGGGGTATGTATGACTACATCCGATGGGATGTGGGGTATGTTTCCCGGGAGAGTTATTAGCATGGGAGTAGCCAAGCGCCTATGATTAAAACATGATAAGATGCATACGCATAAGTCAAGGTGGTTGAGTCTTTTGCCTATTGGGATGTCAGATGCCTGTGGTCTGATCCTGGTGCTTGGGCTTGTTTGCTAGATGTGTGGTAGGAGTATGCTCTGTTACGAACTCACAATGCTATGATTATCTCACTCAGCTATGAGCTGACCCTCTTTATCCTTTTTCTCTGCTTATACCATGTGTAAGCAGATTATCAGCAGCAGCAGTAGATAAGTGTTAGGTGGGAGAGGAGCTAGAGTTGAAGCCAAAATGAGGTATGGTCTTCAACTATTCTGTGCTTGGACGACTACTTGGGATTTTGGCCAGTGATCCACACCTTTTTGTAAAAATGTTTTGAGAACGTTTTTCATGTGCATACTAGCTTCTGATATAGTGTGAGATATTCACAGGTGTGGAAAGTTGATGATATGTGTAGATTTTGTGTAACTGTGTAAGTTGTGACGATTATGGTATGTATAAGTATGGTATACAGTTGTGGAATATGAAAACTGTGACTATGGCTATGAAAGCCAATGTATATGGTTATGGCATATGTGTATGTCTATGGATGCAGGGATTCA